TTAATTCAATTATTGAGGGAATACAAGGACGTATTTGCATGGTCGTACCATGATATGCCCGGGTTGGACTCCAACATTGTCGAACACAAGTTGCTCTTAAAAGAGGGGTTTCGACCTATTAAGCAAAAGCTTCGACGAATCAAGCCTTTTTTTTTTTTTTTTTTTTTTTTAACAATGTTACAATTAATGTATTGAATGAATTTCATAATGTAACACTAATCATTTTGAAATTTTAAGATAGAAACTATGAATATTATGAGATTCATAAATAATAAGTTTAGTATAAATAGAGACATCTAAAGAAAGACAAATTACACATTTTAAATACTTTAGATTTGGACGATATATAATTAAGTCTTTTTTAATATACTTTTTATTAGGGAGCTCGATAAAACTCTTTCTGACATTCCTTTTTCTTGTTAGAAAACGAGCTTCCACCATGATGCATTAGAATGTGATTGTTTAGATTGTTAGATAATTATAGTGATTATTGTTGTTGGAGGCTTAATAAAACTACTCAAACAATATAATGTAGCTAAGGATTTAATCTCTATCTCCCATTTTCTCGTTTTTAATCTCAACTACAATGGGAACACTTGTCATAAAAGCGTGAAAGATATTTTCATTGTCCAAGTCATTGCGATGCATTGTTATCTTATGAAATATATTAACACCGTAAAACATTATTAGTTATAGTTTAAGAAAAAGTCATTTTGTTTAACTGCATCATTTTAGAAAACCAATTCAATTATGTTTCATCATGTTAATTAATTAGAGAATGATTTCAAATTATTTGGTTCATAACTGCCTTAATCTCTTATACGTTTTTTAATAAAATCAATACGAACAAGACGTAAGATGGATAAATTGCTTTGAAGTAATGTGATTTCAACTTCTAAAGATTAGTAAATTGTTTTATATGTCTAAAAGGAAAAAAAAATTGTTTCTACATGCAACTATGAAGGAATGCTCCTTTTCTCCTAGTCTTAAACTAGTGCAAAAATTAGATTTAAAATTGGAGTTTTAAGATTGGTTACAAGGTAACCGATCTTAAAAGTGACGCGGTGACAATTTTGTAAATAACATAAATACTTTTAAGATCGGTTATTTTATGACCGATCTTAAAAGGTATGTCTGACACAATTTTTAAGATCGGTTACAAAAGAACCGATCTTAAAAGTATCAGACATAACTTTTAAGATCGGTCATAAAATAACCGATCTTAAAAGATCGGTTATTTTATGATCGATCTTAAAAGTGTTACTTTTAAAATCGGTTATTTCAGAACAGATTTTGTATGTAGTATACAAAATCGGTTCTTAAATAACTAATTTTAAAAGTATCGTCAGAAATCTTTTATATTTCCCTCCATTCTCATTCTCTTTAATCTTTCCCTCCATTCCTTTATTTACTCTCTGACGCTCTCATTTTCTAAAGTCTCCAATAAGGTAAATTTCGTTGTCGTTTTCGTTTTCATTTTCGTCTTCTCATGCTCTTCTTGTGTCTCTTTTCGTTTTCTCATGCTCTTCTCTTGTCTCTATTTTCGTTGTAGGTTCATTTTAGGTAAATTTCGAACCTGGAATGGCCCGTTCTGCAAGGAGAACGGCTCGTGCTGCAAGGAGAACGACCCATTCTCCATGGAGAACGGCCCGTTCTACAAGGAGAACGGCGCGATCTCCATGGAGAACGGCCCGTACTGAAAGTTAACTTTTTAGGCCTTTTGAACATCCTGGAACGGCCCGTTCCAGTTTTGAAACGGCCCATTCCAGTTTAATTTTTTTCGCCTCCCAGACTTTTAAGATCGGTTATAAAACAACCGATCTTAAAAGTTAACTTTTAAAATCGGTTGTTTAACCAATTTTAAAAGTCTAACTTTTAAAATCAGCTCTTTTAAAATCGGTTACAGAACCGATTTTAAAAGTTAAAAATAATTGATTTTAAAATACTTTTTATTCATTTTTGTTGCATATGTATTTATATATGCGTGATAATTTCTTCAAATAACTGTGTCGGTTTGAACTTTTTTAATTCTTTTTTGTTTAATGGATGATACATGGAGTTGATGTTGCATCTGCAACCTCTATTTTTCTTTTATTACAATTTAATCAATAATTATTTATTACTTGATATTATTACATTCAATTATCACTATAATTATTATGATAAATGGCCATAATCTTATATCATATATTCAGTTATTATAATTAAATTTTATAAATATTCATGACGTGATATTTTTGTTTGTGTCTTGTTAGACTTATTAATAAGGTTTATTTTTGTTTAAAAAAAAGTTTTTTTCGTCATACTTGTATAAAATATTTAATTTGTGGTTTATACGGGAAATTATAGAATAAAAAAATTGATATACAAAAATATATAAAATTAATTTTTTTATGGTGTGTGTTATGCTGCATATTG